CATGAAGTGGGAGCTAGTGGTGAGTGGGCTAGGAGCTGTAGAGGTGGTGGGGCGAGGGGGGGGACGGGGACGGGGACGAAAGACTCGTTAAGGGGAAAATTGGTCAAGAGAGTTGAGTGAACTCGTGCACGAGCTGTACATCTCAACGACGCCGACGTTGGAAACGCTGCGAGGCGGAGACAGTCGAATAGGCCTTGTTTGGTTGATTCGGAACATGATGCGGCTCTCGGTGGCTCTTCCTGCATCACCGACGGGTCATCCATCCGAGTCGCTGACTGGCTGTACCGGCAAAAGTGGGATCACACTTTTGGTCAACCTGTTACAACAACGTGGCATCGTCTTCATCCGACGTGGTCGACTGACATGTGCCCATTTTGGCCACAATATTGCATTATAATATACTTATTTCAATGTATTTTCGATTAATTTAGTTTTCATTAATTCGTAAATAAGTAATTTTGTCAGCCTAGGCCCCGATGCAATTCAATACCGGTGGCTTGAGAATATTTAACTTTCACAGTTTATAGTGGTTTATTTGCCATTACAACTGACGCTAGTACTCATTGTGAGTGTGAGTAGTATTTATGAATATCAGTAAATCCTGAGTAAAAATTGGGAATTTTTTTTCGGTTCTGCCCAAAAGTCGAGGTACATCGGCACATCGGCCCGATCGAAACAGTCTAACAACGTCAGCTTGGTTTTGCTAAATTGGAGCGAGATTGTATTCGAATGCGACCTTTTTGCTGGCCTCACTCAAGACCAGAAGGTGTAATTACCTTTTTTGTTTGTAATTTTGTGACAAAAAAGTCGATTGAGCAACAAAAAACGGAATTTAACATTACTTTTTATTATATAACAGGTGAAAATATGGTTTCAAAACCATCGCTACAAGATGAAGCGAGCCCGACAAGAAGAAAAAGCTGCTCGGCTTCTCGGTAATGATGCCAACCAAAACGGTTGCTATGGCTCAGGCCTCGGCCTCGGCAGAGACGTCACGGAAACACGTGGTTACCTGTCATACACTCGAGGGCATAACCGCATTCTATCTCGAGCCGACGCAGAGACTCCGGATACTCCCACAATGACGCCGTCGCCGTCACCATCGCCTACACCCACACCAACTCCTACTCCGCCGTCTTCTCCTCACTTTCCTCAAGCCAGACTAAAAAATGGTAAGGAAGACAATTTCTTCTGGCATCCTTCAATTTTGTAGAAAAACCGGGTTTCGAAGAGTCGCTTAACAAAGTAATGTTGGAGATAAACTTTCATTTCGTTGAAAGAGTGGAGTAGAAGGGATTCGCAAGTTGGACTCACCGGAAGCCCATAGTGATATTAGTAATACTTAATAATATTATACTAATAGATTCTCCGACAAAATGGAGGGTGTATTTCAGTAAATTTTAAACCTTTTATATTTTAATGTTGGTTGAAACCTTGTTTCCGCAAATTGGTCGGAGCGTCATGAAAATCTTGTGAAATGTACCTAATCCCGTGTCCTCTGCCAAAGTATTCGGGATTCCCAACATTGGACCATTGGCTGGGTACATTCCATAACGTTTTTCCAGCATCGTCAGTGAGAAGCGCCATCGTCGATGCCGACTACGTTACCAGGGAAACATTTGGGAATGTACCCAGCCAATGGTCCAATGTTGGAAATCCCGAATACTTTGGCAGAGGACACGGGACTAGGTACATTTCACAAGATTTTCATGACGCTCCGACCAAGTTGCGGAAACGAGGTCGACGCAAGACTATAAAGTTAAAGGATGCTACACTATCTTGGGATTCATATCTACTTCCATATTTTAGGTGTTTTTGACTCATTGTCTCAACTTTGTCGTGTTAAATATTTAAATGCAATTAGACAAAAATTAAGAAATAATATTAATAAACAAATTACACACACACATATATAATATTCATTATTAATATTGTTAGTAATTAATTGCATTTTGTTCAATTGCATTCATTTTTCACCATTGAGGCAGAGGTCGGTGATAAATAAAATTGTCGTGTGTCAAAAGGATTGAAGACGAGTGGAAGGGATTCGTAAGTTGGTTCCACCGGAAGGTGTGATTGTAGATTTGTGTGAATAGGTCTTCGGCTCACCGGCCAGTCATGTGACGGACATCGTCAGAACACGATACCATGCTTAACGATAATTCACCAAAAACACGAGAGCAAAAAAGGTCCACTTTTGCATCTCATGTTTCGGGTGGATTTCCTGCGGATGACATGTGAATTGGCTACAGATGAAGCTTTACATTGGTGCAATTGAAACCGAACTGCCGCATCCTCCCTCTCCTAAAACACGTATGCCTTTGATCCTGCAAAGTTGCCGTATGTGAATCCGTTTCATTGCACGTTTGTTGTGTGAATGCATTGCTCTTGGAGTGAGTGTGATGCGAGTGTGGAAATCAGATTCACGCATAATCAAGCCTCTTTCACTTTTTAATCGTAACCAACAGCCACAAACATTTTCCACTTAACTTCATACACTTATTCTTTCCATTCGGCGTTTTGGTTCGTTTGTTGATTTCTATCTTTGCCCTAATCTCCAAATGAATTACTTGCTTTATATCAGCAAATCTGTCATTGATACCGAATTCATCTATTGATGATAACAAGTTACGTTTTTAAATGTGAGTATACATTTTACAATTGAGTCTGGATTGAATAACCTAAAGGATGCCAAAATATTATAGATTCTTGTCTCGAAGGCTATCTGATAGAGCTCTTTAACATGTCAGACACCTACATGATAAAAACTTATTACGTTTGGTATAAGAATGAGGATAAAGGGTGGAAGTTAGGGAGTAAAGTATAAAAACAGCAATGTACGTTGCCAACGGTGAAAGGATCTCAGAAGATTTGAACTTTGCTTTGCCAAACCGTGAGGAAAATAGTCAAAAGGTACCGGTACATCATAAGGAAACTAACTGATGAGGACTAAATGATGTGAAGAGTATACAAAGGATGAGCAGTGGTAGTCATGGCTAGGTTGAGCTAGGCAGAAAAAAGATGCATGCTTTGGATGACAGCAACACAGACAAGGTAATCAGTTGGTACTCTACGTTGACCCTTAAGTCTAGATTCAGGGGTTGCTTGCAGCATTGGGTAACAAACGGGGGAAGCTGGATAAATGGAATGGGTGAACACATTTCCTCAACGAGACGCTGGGCCTCTGAATGCATATGGTCTGTCCAAAACACATAAAGATGGAGTGCCACATGTCATTGTAGGGAATAATAAGGGAAGCATGATGCATAAAACAACACGATTTATTTCGAACAAGTTAAAACACATATTCGAGATTTGTTGAGAAAATGGGTTTCGATGCATCTCTTGAGATAACACTGTTAGGGGGACTTTAATTTCGTATGAAAGTGAATGAAGAAGAGATTCATATGATGGACGAAGGGTCAGCAAGTTTTCACCCTCAACGGTCACTTTCATACGAAATGAAAGTCAGCCCAACAAAATATCCGAGATGTGGAAAGTTTAGTTGAGAATTGTTATGAATTCGTCAACTTAGTCGACGAGTAAGAGATAGAAAGCTGCGATTTGCTGGTTAGTTTTGAGGTACCCTAACATTCCTACAGACGATGCCATACATGCTCTGCAATACATACTAGACCAACACTGGGAGCACCAAGTTAAGAAAAGGGTCAATAAAGATACTGATCAACCCAACGATACCAAATTGTACAAACAAACACGAGGTTTAGCTATGGGATCGTATTTTTCAGCAATTTTGGCAAATAATTGCATGGTCCACTTTGAGGAATGGTCAATTGAGGAGGCACTTTTAGTTGCTAGCCTATCCGTTGGCTGCATGGACGACTATTTTGTTGCTTGGCAACATGACAAAGAAAAGCTGGAGAATTTTCTCGGTTTTATGCACAGAATGGGGGCGAAATTCACCGGTGAGTTGTGAAATGAAGGTGGTTTACCTTTTCTTGATGTCATAGTTAGCAAAGAGGCGATTAGTTTAGGTCGACATGTGTATGGGAAACACACAAATGCAGTTAGGGCTTAAGGTAGGATGTATGAAGTCTATGCGTCTGGCAGATATTAAGCATTGAGAACAGGAATTGAAGAGACTA